CGCAAGCTAGTTCTTGCTTTACCAGACTTTAAGCCCACACAAGCAAAGGCGCTGGAGCTAGTGTCTAAACCCTCCGAGAGGGCACAGGTTCGATTCCTCTCATGTCGAAACTTTGTGAGGACAAACGTGGCATAGCTGACCGGCTCAGCGCCAATCCAAGCCAATTCCTTCGGGAACGCCTAATAGAATCGCCAAGGCTTCGGCACAGGCCTCCCCGGGACCCATTCACTACTAGTGGGGGGTACTGCACTTGGCGCGTCGGGCAGATCAAATAATGGTCTAAAGCTAGACGTTAAAAACCGGGAAGTTAAGTCTGTGGAGGCTCTTCCCCACCTTTACCTTTACCTTTACATGAAAACTAGGAGTAGAAAGCGTAGAAAGCACAAGCAAAATGCATGGGGGTAGGAAACCGGGGCCAGGCAGGCAAGTAACAAAAGAAAGCAGACCAAAACAGGAGGAGGGGGGAGGGGGAGAGAGGGAGGCACAACAGGAAGTTAGGAGTTAGTGGCGGTGCAATCTGTACAGAGCACGACAGAAATTGGAAAGTTGGATGGCATCAGGGAGAGTGAAAAATGCATACACAGACTCAGTATGTGCAGGGGTGAAAAGCAGGGGGTACTGAGCGCGCAGCTGCGCAGCCCGTGGGCATCGAAACAATGCGTGTTGCACATCCTCCACATGCCGCTCGCCCGCTGCCGCACAATGAGAGCATAGCCGGTCCGCCCGCTGCTGACGCTGCCAGCGCCCCGTCTCCTCCGCCAGCCAATGCGAGCCGGTGCGCCAGCCAAAGCACGCCAGCGGCCTCGGTGCTGGAGGGTGAAAAGGTAGCCAGGCAGTCCGTCGGCTGTGTCAGCACCGGTGGCAGCAACGTACTCACGGATGCGGGTGCCCTGCGCAGTGTACAACTGCTGGCGGAAGGAAGCTGCGGCAGCCTCGACAATGTCAGACACACCCACAGGCTGGGGCTGGCGCAAATCCACAGTAGCCCCATATGCATGCAACGTTGCTGCCACCTGACCAGCCCAAGGTTGCCCTGCCAACCACACACCCCCGGCCTCAACAGCCAATGCACAGCTGTTATGCAAAGCACGCTGCACAAGACTGGCCTCATCGGCCGACAACACACTGTTCCAGAACCGCCCCACCTGGGCTGCCCAGCGCGCTGCCAGCGGCTGCTGGCCTGTCTCCGCCAGCAACACCAGCGCTAGCGTGGACTACCGCACGCCCAACAGCTGGCGGAGGAAAGCCAGCTGCTGCTGCATGGCAGCGCACTGGGAGCCTGCAGCAATCAGCTGGGGGGACCAGATCTCAGCCCCATAAGACAACACCGGCAACACCATGGCATTAAACATGTGCAGCTGCACCCTGGCACCCCGTAGCCCCAGCTCAGCACAACGGCGCCGCACAGCATGCAAAGCGCGCCCCCCAGCACTAGCGCGTGCTGCTGCTGCAGTGGCAAAAGCACGGCTGCTGTTAAAGTGTACACCCAAATACCGAAACTCGTCGACCGCCTCAATGGCAGCACCGCCATAAGTGAAGGGCAGGCCTGTGGTGGATGGTGGCTGGACGGCCGCAGGCGCAGCCCGCCGCCGCTGCCCCTCGAACACCACCACCTTGGTCTTGCTCACGTAGACCGTCAGACCCCACGCGGCCGCATATGCCTCCAGCCTGTCGAGCTGGTGCTGCAGGCCAGCAGGCGTTGTGGCTAGACAGGCCAAATCGTCAGCATACATCAGTGGGGGCACAGGGCGGCCATCGCCCAGGCATAGCAGCGCAGCCCCGGCCTCCGCTGCCACTGCTGCTGCCAGGTCGTCCACAAATAGGCCAAACAGCATGGGGCTGAGAGGGCAGCCCTGCTTGAGGCCAAGCAGGGACTGGAAGGCGTCAGTGCAGCCCTCAGCTGTCCGCACACACATAGGCACATCGGCATACAGCGCCTGCACAGCCCTCCCCACCGTCTCCAACTTAGCCCACAGCAGGCTGCGTTTTGCTGAGACCCAGTTTCAGCAGGGCCTCACGGCCACTGTTATAGATGGCGCCGCGTGCTCCAATGACAATGATGTGAGGTGTCCGGTCCACTTGCCAACCGGCCTGCTCTAGGGCTGTCATGAGTTGTTCATGTTGTTGCAGTTTGTCTGCCACTTTGGCCCGCCACTGCGTGTCAGAGCAGTAGCCGACTTCCACTACTTGTATAGTGTGACGGTGCTTGTTGCTGACTGCATGCTGGATTTCTTCAGTCGTCGGCGCCCCTGGCAGCCCCAGGATGCGCAGGATGTCGGGGCGCATTCTGCATAGAGTGTCGTCGTGTGCAACATTTTTTGGCAGGAGCCACCGGGGGAGGCGTTTGGCGTCGGCTGTCAGCCCTTCAAGTTCCTCTTGTTTGCACGCATCCAACACAGTGTAGGCATTGCCGTGACAGCTGCCCCTTTGGAGGGCTGTGTGTATCATGCGCACTGCGCTGTCGTGCCGGTGAATGTGCATGGCCTTCATTTGAGGGTGGGTGCATCGTAGCAGAACATGCCCTCCAGAGTCGGGTTCACCACACAGTGGGCACCGGCTGTTCGTGGCAATGGGTTGCCCATGCTTGCCTGGGGAGTAGGGCGCTCCCCATAGGAAGGCTTCCTTTTTCGTCCAGAATTGGCCTGTTCTATGCTTCAAGAGTGTGCGGCGGGCTCCAGCCACCACTCGTGCAGTGCGCCAGAAGGCATTGCTTCCCTTTCCTAGTGCCCGATCGTCTTCTTGCCCATCGTACATCTGTTGGGCGGCGGCCGCACAGATGCCCACCTTGCTGGTGCCGGTTTTGGTGCTGGCATGTACGGCCTTACGGAGAGCACTGGTGAGATTGGACACTGCCCTGAGACTGGCCGGCCCCTCTGCCCCTTCTGGCAGGGGCTCAAAGAAGGCCGGCTGCCACTGGCCGCCAAAGGGCTTGTGGGCTGGCATAACGAAATCGTGGGTTTCATCGGCCCCAGCCGCAGCTTTCGCGGCAGCGTCCGCCTCTTCGTTGCCTGTCACTCCACTGTGGGCTTTCACCGCGGCGGAAGCCAAACTGGCCCTCAGCCCGCACACCCGCCCCCTCTGCCCAGCCAGCCAGGCGACGGTCAAGGGCAGCAGCATACAGTTTGGCGGGGAGGGTACCAACGGCGATGCCGCGGTATGCGCCGCACTCATTGGATGCAGCATTTGCCTTGGGGATCGGGGTGATGGCACTAATGGCCCAGCACCCAGGCAGGCAACCCACACGAGCGCATGCATTGAAGAGGTCCGCCAGTACCGGTGCCATCACGGCTCTGACCCGCTTCAGCACAGGCGGCTTCAGCGGGCCTACCACAGCAGCGCGGTTCCGGGTGCGGCCAATGGCAGCGTCGACCTCTGCAGCGGAGAAGGGGGCTTGGAGCGCAGCGGCAGCCTCAGTGATAGCGGCAGCAGGCTGGCTGGCTGTAGTTGGTGTGGCTGCTGGCCCCTGGCTGCCCTCTTGCAGGCCAGCCCCAACAGGCAGCGGCGGCGGCACAGGCAGCGGAGGCGGCGGTTCACCAAGCAGGCTGCGGAAGTGCTGCAGCCAAGCAGCCCTGGGGATGAGCGCCGAAGCGCGTGCACGCGGGGTGCGGAAGCGGGCGAAGAAGGCAGAGGGATCGTCGCTGAGGAGCTGCGCCAGGCGATCGCCCCTCAGCTGCTGCCGGTGCCTGCGTTCCCGCTGTGCTGCGCGCCGGTACAACGTGCCAAGTCACGCCACCTCTGTCCATGCTCGGCGCCTGACAGCACGGCGGTGCTGCCGTCGCAGCCTCGTCAGCTCTGCGCTCCGCCGAGGGCGGGAACGCTGCGGCTGCTGTGCCTGCTGCCTGCGTTGCATGCCTGCCGCCTCCAGGGCACGGCACACCACCTGCTGCATGTGCATGGCGGCCGCCTCCACCTCCTCCACGCTGCCAGCGGCAGCTGCTGCCTCCCTGACATCATGCATTTCAGCAGCAGTTGCTTCCAGTTGCATGAATGCCTCCACCTGGGGTAGGAGGGCGTCGGTGATGGTGTAGTCCGGCGGCAGCGTCAGGTGGGGGCGGCGGTGGGGGGGGAGGCGCCACGCCCTGCGGTGTGAGGGAGATGTCTGGGCGCAAGTGGCAGTGGTCACCGCCGCCCGGTGGGACCGGCGCTACACGGAGCGAGCGCACTAGGGATAGGAGCCGCGGGCACGCCAAGAAATAATCCACCACAGCCTGTGCATCCCCCCGCCGCCCCCTGCTGGTGGGCTGCGCCGGCACATCCCCTGCCACCAGCCCATTGCACATGAGCAGGCCAGTGGTGTGGCAAAACTGCAGCAACGCCCTGCCATGCCCAGCCAACACGGGGTCTGCTGACCGCCGGAGTGGCGCAGTACTACCGTCAGCAGCGTCGGGCTCCTCCGCTGTGCGCCCATTGAAGTCGCCGCCCACGAGCACCAATCCCGCAGTCATGGCCTGCGCGCTCTCATCAGCCCATAGCATTCATTTGCTCCTTATGGGTGTAACAGACAGACAGACAGACAGACAGCGAGGCCGCCCCCCTTTGTTGCAAGCCAAGCAGGGCCCCGTGCCCGCTCCACTCCCCGCACCTCCCACCAGCCTGCTCCACCACTTGAGCACACACACACCCCACACACACCCTCCCCCACCCCCACCCACCCGACAGCTTCTCTATGCACACATTGTCGATGTTGTGCGCCTCAACAAACACAACCACACACTCCCGCTCAAACTCGCAGCTCTCCATCTGGGACACCTGCCGGCAGGAGGGAGGGAGGCGGCGAGGAGGAGGGTGGTGGGGAGGAGGGAGGCAGGGGAGGTTGAAAGCACGGAGGTACAGGCGGCGGCACCAGCGCCCCGCCGCGCCTGCCTGGCCTCCGCCACCACCATGAGACACCACACGCACACATGGCGCACACAGTGCGCACTCCCCAGCCCACCACCAACAACCCCAGCCCAGCAACACCCCCCAGCACACCCCCACCCGCCCCCCCACCTTGGGGTCAATCATGTACTGGTATCTGTGTGATGGTAGTTGTACACCACGACATTGGAGTAGGCAATCATGCGGCGGGCCAGGAAGTAGGGGCACCAGTGGTGCTTGCGACCCCACACACGAAGGTCGTGCAGCGTAGCGTGTACACGCCTAGGGGCGCGCGGCACGGCGGCGGCAGCCGGGGGCGGCGGCAGGGTGTGGGCACGGCGTGGAGCGCACATGCGGGGGCGGCACCACGCCGCCGCCACACATCCTCTCACACCCTGGGCAGCGTGCCACACACACACCACCATGGCACCGGGCAGCGCCAGGCGGCGGCGGCGGCCAGGCGCGGGCAGCGCCCTCCCGCCGCACCCGCGCCCAGGTGCCCCTCCGGGCCCACCCCCTCCAGCCCTTCATAAAAGCCGCAGGTCTCGATGTCTGTGTCTGGGTCCTGCCCCGCCCCAGTGGCGCACGGGGTCGCGCTGGATGGCTGAGGAGACAGGCCGGTGGCAGCGGCTGGACCGCACCCAGCGCCCATGCCCCCACTGCCAGGCCCCTCTAGAGGACGTACGCCACGCAGTGTATGACTGCCCCCTATACGCTGGGCTGAGGGAGGAGTATGCTGAGCTCTTCCACAGTCCCGGCCACGCCTTGCCCTCCCTGGCCGCCTTCCTCGGCCAGGCCAGGCAGGGCCGGCTGGCCCGGTTTGCCGACCGGGGCCATGAGGAGCATGCTGCTGCCCTGGCACAGTGACTCCCCCGGTTCCCTTGAGTAGGGCCCAGGCATCTTTTGCCCGGCCTTGGCTCCCGACCCACCCCCTCCCCCCGCAGGTAAGAGCAGCGTCAGCGTCAGCAAGCAGCGGTCAGCGGCAGCCCCACCACCCCCACCTCCACCTCACACACTCACTGGCCCTTGCGCGATGGCACGCCGGCATGTTGGCATGGGAACGCCAAGCCCGGCACGGTAGCGGCGGCTGACTGAGTAATGGCACAGCCGACCGCCGCGGCAGGCCACTTTGCACTCCTGCCTGCAATGCATGCACCCTTACATGTGCAGCCTTCTGGTATTTTCATGTGCCTGGGAGATGTGCGGGCATGGGGGCCCATGTGCCCCATGCCATTTGAGTGCCCGGCGGCGGCGCTGCCTGCCGCCGGGAGCCCGCACCAGCATCGGCACCCGTCGGCCTGGCAGGCCTAAGGTGCTAAGGATCCCCACGTCCCCCACCACGTTGTGGGGGTTGCGTGTCCGGCAGGACGGGGAGCGGGGCCAGGGTTGGGTGACCCTGGGACGCTCAGCTGGGGGGAGGGTGGTCGGAGCCATGGAGAGGGTGCTCCATGGTCCACCCCCTCTCTTGATGCCCCTTGATCACGTGTGCCCCCTGCCCAAGGTCTGCTCACGCGGCCTATCATAGCGGGGTGACTGTAACACCTGGAAACACCCGCCCGCTCCCGCACCGAGGGCGCTGTCAGGCGCATGCACTTGGCATCCACGCTCTCATGCGACCCCTCCTCTGCACCACTGGTGGTGGTGGTGGGTGCGGGAGCAGGGGGCGGGGCCAGCGGCATGGCGGCTGTGGCGTGGAGCCAGGGGAGGAGGGTTGCAACGCTGGGTGGCACTGCCATTGGGCTGCAGGGCAGGCGGGGGGCAAGGGCAGGGGCAGGGGCAGGGGGCAGGGGCAAGGGGCCAGGTGCATGCAGCGCGGTGCCACCCACCCGACACCCAGAGGTGTATGCACAGGTTCTTTCTATCAGCCCCAGCGCCAGCATCTTGGGTGCCCCCCCCCCCCGCCGCATCCTGGTTCCGCTGCCGGTACTGCACCAGCTCCTTCAGCTCATCCAGATTACATTATATGTAGTCTGTCTTTGGTCAATCACTGAACTGAATTGATCGGGAGCGAGCGCGGCGCGGTGGCGGCCCGCCCCAGCTGTGCGTTCCCCTCCTGGCCCTCCCCCCCGCCCCTCCCTCCCACCAGCGCGCCGCACCTTCTCCATCTCCGGCACGGTGCGTGTGCAGTAGATGAGCTTGCCCACCTCTGGGTGTGGCAGCTGGTAGGAGGTGATGAGGGACAGCAGCGTCACAGTCTTGCCCATGCCTGTGGGCATCTGCGGCCACCAGGCGGGCGGCAGGGCGCACCGGGGAGCAGAGCCAAGGGCGGGCGCCGTGCTTCAACACATCCTCACCATCCGCCCTACGGCCTGCAGGGCCGGCTGCTCCACCACACCTCAGGTCTCACACCGCCCGCCGCTCAGCCCTGCCCGCCCCTCAGCGCTGCCCGCCCTCGCTCACCTCCAGCAGGCAGTGCCCCTTGGCGTCCAGCTCCAGCATGTACTGGTGCTGCTCAGGGTAGATGAAATGGTAAGGGAAGTACACAGTGAGACCCTCCAGCTGGAAGCGCATGGTGGGGCTGGCGGCCGCCGCCCCTACCGCCGCCACCGCCCGCCCTTTGGGCCTGCGCGATGCGCGCTGCTCTGTCGAGACACGCCTGGAAAGGCTGTGCACGAGTCCAATGAGCGGTGGGACGGAGTGATCGATCTGCTGGCTGCCGACACGGACACAAGGCTGCCACTGGCCCGGCAGCCCTGGGCAGCGCAGGTTAGCCGCGTTCTCGCGGCGGCCGGCGCCCCCTGCGACTTGACTGTTGACGAGGGGGTTGCCATACCTGAATTGACGGAAGCGCTCCTGGAGCGCCATGTTGCCTCGTACACGCACGCATCCGTGAAGGTGCAACGTACATTGAGGACGTGTGGGGGGGCAGCATCTCTGCGGAGGCCTACGCGCCTATGTCGTTCTTGTGCGATGTGCCTGAGCGCCGGCGCCGGGTGCGCCTGGCGCAGTGGCGCACGGGGTCGCGCTGGATGGCTGAGGAGACAGGCCGGTGGCAGCGGCTGGACCGCACCCAGCGCCCATGCCCCCACTGCCAGGCCCCTCTAGAGGACGTACGCCACGCAGTGTATGACTGCCCCCTACACGCTGGGCTGTGGGAGGAGTATGCTGAGCTCTTCCGCAGTCCCGGCCGCGCCTTGCCCTCCCTGGCCGCCTTCCTCGGCCAGGCCAGGCAGGGCCGGCTGGCCCGGTTTGCCGACCGGTGCCATGAGGAGCACGCTGCTGCCCTGGCAAAGTGACTCCCTCGGTTCCCTTGAGTAGGGCCAAGGCATCTTTTGCCCTGTTGTCTGTACTCCCTCTCTTCCCACCCATTCATCTTCCACCTTCACCCCGCACCCATAACAATTTGTGACGGTTCAGTGATTGACCAAAGACAGACTACATATAATGTAATGTAATGTATGTGCCCGGCCTTGGCTCCCGACCCACCCCCTCCCCCCGCAGGTAAGAGCAGCGTCAGCATCAGCAAGCAGCGGTCAGCGGCAGCCCCACCACCCCCACCTCCGCCTCACACACTCACTGGCCCCTTGCGCGATGGTACGCCGGCATGTTGGCATGGGAACGCCAAGCCCGGCACAGTAGCGGCGGCTGATGAGTAATGGCA